CTTCCAAATAGAAAAATATATCAGAAGTTCGAACACGAAATCTACATTTTAAAGAATTTTTTAAAAATCTTTTTTAAATTTTTAAAGAATTTTTTGAAAATTTTTAAAAATTTTTTAAAAATTTAAGGAATTTTTTATTTAAAAACCTATGTTTTTTTAAAATCTGTATTTGAAAAATCTATATTTTTTTGGAAATCTGTATTTAAAAAAACACAAAATCTGTTTTAAAGAAAAAAAAAAAAAACTCTGAGTCTTGATTATTGTCTGATATTTGGCTATAATGTTAATGAGTAAAAATGATGGCGCTTATATCGCCCACATGAGTGTAATTATTCGCGCTGATTAGCCATACGATTAGCCAAATTAATTTTTTCCTGATGCACATGCTAAGAATCAGGCTGCGTGCAACTGTTTTCCCTTCAACGATTTAAAGTGGAATTTGAAATCAGCCTTCTAAGGCAACGAACAGCTAAGTTGCTTGGGACAAACCGTATAGATCGGTAACATTGAACAGAAGATGTCACGATTTTCCACTTTTTACTATATTACGATTTTACCATTTTTTCCAAAAGATTTTACTAAAAGAAGAAAATTTTGCCATTTTCATGCGTTTTTTTTGCAGCTATGCAATGCGAAAAACGTATATTGACAAGAGGTTGTCTGTGTGTGCGCTGCGCGTCTGTACTGTTTTTTCATCTCGAGACCTACAAGAGTTACAGGGCTGAAACTGTGGAGACTTAATCTACATGCTTGTACTGGCTCCCATCCCCAAAATGGGCGGTCTTACCCGCGTGGTACCCACGTAAGAGCCCGCCCAAGTTTTTTGCGGGTAAGTTGCTAACTCGCGAATCAGGAAAGCTAGAAAGCTGAAATTTTAAGAAGACGTTCCTCGTCCACGCAGGTATCAATGAGCTCAAAACCAGTCCCCGGGTATGCGTGGCACCCACGTACGGGCCCGCCAAGTTTTTTTTTTCGGATAAGTCGCTAAGTCGGAAGTCTGAGAAGCTAGAAGATTGGAATTTTAAGGGGGTAGCTAGTCTTAATTTGTTTAGCTGGAAGCATTTGCCAGAAAAACCGGTGCCGGTAGCGACAAAAACTGCGGGGAACTATGCAAAAAACGCATCTTCGCACAGGCAGTCTGGGTGTTGGTCAGTTGTTATTTATTGCTGCAACTTGATAACCGGACAGGATATTAGTGATTGTTACTGTGGAACTGCTATGAATTCATTTTCAGGAGTGCGCCATGAGGCCAGCATGCGATATGATTTGATGTTGGCAACTCCAAAGGAATTCTATCACGAAGACCATCGACCACTGCATTTCCAGAATTTCAAAGGATTTGACGACCCGTTGGGAGTGGCTTCAGCTGATAGAGAAGATGTATTCGCATGAAAAGTT